TCACTGGTTAGTACAAAAGTTATTTCGATGAAATTTGCATTTTACTAATTTTGAGTAAATTATACGGCCACGTGTGCTTAGGCAATAATTTTTTTATTCATACGAAAAAGAAACAAATTATAATTCATAATTTTTAGCAAACGCAGAAATTCAAAATTGCTTGTAACTTTTTTATAATTGATATATTCAAATTTTGGATTACATGCAAATTAATTCACAAAAGTCCGTGTACATGCTATCACGAAAATTTAAGAGTAACAAAACTCATACATTCCAAATTAAAAAAACAAATCTATTATAGTTTATTTATTTTGTTTAGTTTCATTTCTTAACTACTACTTTTACTATTATTTTTTATGCATTTTCAAACATATAATTTTTTACACATTTGTGACACAGTTACTTCAATTTGAAAATATAATTACAAATTATAAAGCCATTTCATTTAAGCTTTTACATATTAATAATTTAGATTATTAGGGAAGATTAAGTGATTAATAATATTGCACCGTTAGAGTTGATCAAGATGAACTGGTGGCAATTGAGATTCCAAAAATGGTTAAGAAATGAAAAGTTTATTTTAGATGTGAAATAATGTCAAAAAGTTTTCAGAAAAACTTTTTATAGTAATAAACTAGTAAGTAATAATGTTAAAATGTAGTAAGTATTTCTGATGTGTATTACTTGAAGATGATGGACCGTGAATATGTTTATGAACAAATGCGCCATATCGGTTTGCTAGAAACTGTAAGGATTCGAAGATCAGGATATCCAATTCAGTACGATTACGACTTGTTTGTAGAACGTTTTCGTTTGCTTGCTGATGGAATTGGTCAAGTTATTAGTATTATTCTTTCATATTTCTGAAAAGTTGCTTAAATGATTTTCAAATTTTTTAATTTTTTTATTATGGACCAGCACAATGAATGTTTGTTTAAGTAGCCAAAATAGAAACTTTATAAACATAATAAATTATGGAAACATTTCAGGACCCACGCATACGACTAATTGTCTTTTGGCATCACAACGAATTTGCAATATTGTCTTGGGGTCAAAAGCAGATTTTAGACTTGGAAAAACTAAGATATTTCTGAAGGAAGCACAAGACTTGTTACTTCAACAGGCAAATATTTTCTGCAAAGCTATGAAAATTAAAATTAGATTTACATTGACTTTTGAACATGAGAATATGTTAATTTTAACAATTAAATACATATGGAATGAAATCTAAGCGATTCATTCAATGCTTTTAAATGCGAAAAATGCAAAAGTTACAAGACTTATTAAAAAAGTTTTACTAATGACGGAGTAAAGTGACTTGTAATTACGAATAAATCCAAAAAGACAAACAGTTAGTGCTTTTTAAAAATTTGCAAATTTAGCAATACGAGAATATGCTGACCCTGAAAGTGACATTGATCCAGAAAACAGTACGTGGATGGATCAATCGAATACAATTTGAAAAAATGAAAACTGCTGCTGTTACTGTACAAAGGTATTGGAGAGGGTATATACAACGCCAACGTTATAGAAAGGTATTGCTTTTCAATTTGACAAGTAAGCTTTTTAATTTTGTAATCTTTTTTTTGAGTTTAGAAGCATAAATTTATGAAAGCAAACGCAATTTCTTATCTAGAATTCTGTAGTATAAATTGTAATTTTAAGTTTTAATTTTGAACCCATGAATTTAAGTAAATTTTAATTTTAAATAATTAGAATTTTCTATAAATAATGAAATTGTATCTATTTGAGCCAAGCGATTCTTAAATATAATCTAAAGTTTATTTTCAAGTCATTTTGAATACGCACAATTATCACTGTTAAGCTTTTTTATTATCAAAATTATATCAGAATTTTTGTTGTCAACGATTCGATTTAGTATTGTCACTAAGTATTGTCTAAAAAGAGTTCAGTTGGAATTTTGAAAAATTGTCAAAATTAACTAATTGTTTCTAATTATACAGTATAGTAAGTATTTAAGCCGATAATAAAATTAAGACTAATTAATGACTTTTAATTTGTACACGTCAAATTAAAACCAAGATATCAGTGAATTTAAATTAATGTTGAATTGAATTTTAGACACAAATTGGGTTTGCGCGATTGCAGGCAATTCTTCGTTCCCGACAAATTGTATTACATTATAAACTATTTCGTGCAATTGTTACACAATTTCAGGTGTTTGTTCAAATATTTCAAGCACTTAAAAATTACTGAAAAATAAAAACTAAATAAGAAAAGTTTTTAATACATTATGAAAAGTGGTAATTTATTTTTACGTGACGGACGCAGAACATTTAAGGCTCATTGCCGTGGGGCATTGGTGCGAAATGCGGTTCGACATAAAATTGAACGTGGAGAGCGTTGTCCTGCAATGATGGTACCAGAAAATGATGTAATATTTAATCGTGGTGCAAGTCCAACATCTATTACCAATGTTATTGATGGATGTGAAATTGGCGTGGTTAATTTTAATTTAAAATACTTCAAAATAGTATTAATTTGAAGATTTTCATCAAAATTGTGAATATTTTAGGTAGAACGTTTATTTGGCCATTTACCATCAGGTATCACGCCACATCCTGACCTCATACAAAATTGTTACTCGAAAAAACAACACAAAACGTAAAATTTGATCAGTAATATTCCTTCTGAAAGTAATTCAAAAACAAAAAATTTACTTCAAAGTTAAATACAAAAATCATACACTGCAATAATATAAATTTCTAAGCCACTTGTAACTATTTTGCAAGTGAATAATGTTTTTAATTCACATATCACAAGTAGTGAGTAATTCAAGATATAGCTTTAAACTGTCTATCGTTAATAAAAATGAAATTTATTATTATATGATAAAGTAACTTTAGAGAGCACAATTGCTTCGGAACCTTCTACGAGGATGGTAGAAAGCTAACCGCGGTGGAAGATAATGATCTAAAAGCTTTTCAGTTCGGAAAATTTGCCGCGGCATATTTTCCGATGCAAATTGATTCCAATTTCACACGGAAACCGTTGCGAGTTGCATTATTGAACCATGAATCCGATTTAGATAAAAAAGCAAGTTAATTATAGTTATAAATATTTGTAAAAATTTATCGTCAGAAAGCATTATTTGATTACTTACATAAGAAAAATTCTTTCAAAGTTTTCATTTCAATATTCTAGAGTATTTTTAATCTCAGTAAAAAATTAAAAGTTAATATTTGGTTGTATAGTAGGCTAAAAACTTATTAAGAATAATGTAATTTAATTATTTGGATTTGTTAATTCAAAAATGATTTCTAGGCATCGTTAGCGATTTGGTCAGTAATTCAGCGGTTTATGGGAGATGTACCAGAACCACCAAAAGTTTCTCCCGACGTTTCAGATGTAGAAAAGGTTTACTCATTTAACTTAAATATTTAAGTTAGCAGTTGTAAATCAAATTGTGATTTGAGGTTGAATTGGCGAATATTAGGTCAGCCAAACAATAGTGAAAATTGAGCTGATATGCAAAGCAAAGCAACAAAAAACATTAAGTAATAATAATAACTGTAAACATTAACTTTCAACTTTTTGAAAACTAATATGATTATTTTTTTAAAAAAGCAAAAGTGATTCACCAGTTTTTAATAATTAATTAATTAAGTAATAATTATTATTATTGTTACAATTATTATTTACCTATAGTGATCCTTCTTGTTCTTTTTTAAATAAATTTCTATGAAAATTTGCTCATGCATACTGATAATAATTGTGTTTTAATTAATTTAAAAGTAAAACCCCACTAAATTTGTTTGAAGTTCATAAGGTTTTACTTTGGAAAATTAGTTATTTTCATATCAAAAATAAAATTTGGCTGAATTGATTACCTAGATTTCAGATTAAATACATTCCAATTATGACTAAAATTTATATTATAACAAGTCGAAATGATTCAAAACAAGGAGTTAAAGACGAATACAATGATTATGGACAAGTAAGATCAACATGATGCTAACTTATTTTAGTGATATTAAAAATCAAAAGAAAAAAATTAAAATATAAACGTAATAATCCATCAGAAGTTTTAATTATTATAGTAATTAGTCGCGCGATTCGTATGTTTATTTTTAATATTTATGATTTTTAAAGATAATAACTGTGTGACAGAATTTGGATCTTATTTAATTAATGAAAGAAGGCAAGATTATGCAAATGTCGAAACTAGGTCCAAAACAAAGTCTTGCTCGTAAATTTGAAGTTCAAAATAAAATTAGAACTGAAGAAAATTTTTTATATAGAAATTTTTTCAAGCTGATAAATTCGAAGAATCAATCAACGGCAATGCAATTGTCATTAGTTCCTTATAATCCTAAACAAAATGAAACTTCATCCGCGGATGATATCACGTATGATACACGGAATACACAGGAGGAAAATTTTTTTGAATCTGAAGGATATGAGCAACAATACAAGATAATGCTGGAAAAAGATTTAGAGTCTAATCTAGAAAAGTTACATTTCATCGTTGGACATGGCATCTTACGACCAGATCTCAGGCAAAGTTTTTGTTTTTAGCATGCTTGAATGTTTTTTTGCGAAAGGTTTCTGCAACAATAAATGTGTGCTTAACTTCTTACAAAAATTTAGTACTTTAATTTGGTCTAATTAATAACTGCTTTAAAATTATAAAACAGATTAATAAGCAAACAATACAGCTTTTAATGAAAGTAATTATATGTATGATTTTTACAGAGATGAGATATACAGTCAAATATGCAAGCAACTACTAGGAAATCCGTCCAGAAGTTCGTGTGCACGTGGGTGGATATTATTGTCATTATGCACTGGCTGTTTTGCACCAACAAATCGTTTCTTACCATATCTACAATGCTTCATACGTGAAAATTGTCTCCGAGGTGCAACACATTTTGCAGTGTTCATAGAAGACAAATTGAAACGTACGCTAGCAAACGGAACACGTGATTATCCTCCTAATCAAATAGAGATACAAGTAATTAGTCTCCTCATTTTTTTGCTAAATTATATCCTATTATTTTATCTATGATCATTAATAATTTATGCAAGAGTCATCACACAATTCACGCGTAAAAACCTAAGCAAATTTTGATTGTTCATTTAACTACGTAAATTAATACATTAGCACATACAAACTGTATTTATTTTTACAGACAGTTTTGCTAATTTTGATTGAATTTTTTGTCAACAATAATGGCAGTTATTCTTGCAACAGCTATAAAATTATAACAGGAACAAAAATAATTA